CATGCAAACATTTGTTAAGTGAAATTAATCCATTTTAGGTCATTTTAACCCATACTGATTTAAAATTTTGTTCTGGCCTGATGAGAACTAACTTTTAGATCTTGTGCACCGTTTTTTGGATAACCGAAGTCCTGTGAACACTTGCACACTGGGGTATTAAGACCCTTTGCAGCTTGGTTAGGACAATCTAAATATAATGTGTGTACATACCCTAAACAGAATTGAAGAAGAGACCTAAAAAGAATGAAAGGAATACCATTCTAAATATCACTCAAAATCTATATCTGGTGGAGAGGTGGTTTTCTAGGCTTGGCAGTTCTTTTGCACAGTTTAGATGACATTCTGAGAGGCTCTGATTTTATTCTGGTGCAGGGGTGCTCAACCCTTGGCCCACGTCTCAGTGTCATCTGATCTGCAGAGTTCCCCATGGGTCTGGAAATTTGGTGGGGGGCAGTCGTACCACTCCCAAATTGCCAAATTTCCAGATCCACGGGGGGCCCCAAGCCCTGCGTGCTGAACTGAGTGTCCAATCTCCACCCCCTCCACCAGCACATAGGACTGGGGGGGTGGGGAGGCAGTGGCTGAGCCCCAGGACCTTATTCTGGCATACAGGGCTTGATCTGGCCCTATGCTGCTTCTCTGGCCCACGGAGCCAAAAAGTTGAGCACCTCTGCTCTAGTGAACTTCCAGGCAATGTATAATTGTGGAAGAGTAACAGCTTTTGTTTTCACTAGCTTGTTCTGGGGTTATACTTGTTAAATAATCAAATTAGGGGTCCTTTCATTGCAACTTTACAATGAACTACCACCTTTTGCTTGCAGTTCCCTACAGAACATCTTACTGTGCTTTTTCTTTGTGCTTGTTTAAAAGGAAGGGGATTCCACTACTTCCTTTAGCAGACTGTTCAATCGCATGTTGTTTATTCAGCCAGATTTGGCTTTTTACCATAATAAGAGGATGAAATATACACCTTTATTGGTATTTTTACTTCTTTGACATTGGGAGGTTTGTAACCTGTTTCCTCTAGTTTTTCCCCTGAGCCCCATTGTATATCTTTTAATCCTTCCTTAACATATAATTTCCTCAAGTCTTACCATTTTTGAAGCTATAGCATGAACTCCTGAGATCTATCAACATTATTTTTGGTAACCAGGTGCTAAGTATGAAACATCATATTTTTAGTTTGGAGCTATATAGAAAGGAATTCTACTTCCATGTTGATAAGGATAGCCCAGCATCTCTGGTCTGGTCTGGTTTTGCTGTCTACGCACAAGTTTTCAGAATAACTACTTTCCAGGTTTCTTCTTTCTGTTGATATTTGCTTTAGATTATTTTGCCATAGATCAGTTGGTTAGTTGTTGGTTTTTAATTTCAAAATGAATCTTTTAAACTTACGTTAACAGATTTTTACCTCCGAAAATCTCTTGCATTGTTTCATTGTAATGCATTTAACTGCTCCCAATATAGCATAATCTGGACGAGTCTACATGAGATGTTTACTGCAGAGTGCACTAGTTACGCTCTGCAGTAAAGTAAATGTCCACGCATGTCTGGACATACCCAGGACATTTGGTTCCCTGGGCACAAGTAGCCAGGAGATGCCCATGCCATGCATGCTTTGGTGCATGACAGATTACCCCAGGTGGGGTAGGGGAGTCTAGGGCCAGCACTGTGCTGGCCCCAGCAGCCTTACCTGGGGTCCTGGGGGCCTCCTGGGGCTGCAGCCACGGCTGTTCTGCCACATGGAGCCTGGCTGCCAGCGGAGCGTGGCTCTGGACAGGCTGGCTCAACTTTTTCAGCAGTGTGTGCTGGCCAAGCATATGTTGCTCCATCTTTTTTTCTTTCCCCTGTAGCTTTTCCTGACCACTAGATATCCAGGAGTAAAAAAAAAAAAAACATGGAAAACCCCCCGGGTGCAGCGCATGTGTAGATGCTGATGTGGCTGGCTGAGACATGCGAGTACTTCAGTGCAGGGGCTGCCTGTCAACCAGCCCCTCACTGTAGCACTGTTGTGCTAAAAACATTAATACGGTTTGGGTGAAATTTTAGTGTGGTGTTTTTTGTGGATGACTCCTAACATCAAGTGAAACCCCAAATAAAACCCTATGTTGAGTGTATACATGATCATTCTTTTGGTATATTTCATGTCTTTTTAAAGAAGTCATATGATGTGCTGTCTCTTACAATCAACTACATGAGTATATGTTACCATGTATTTGGGGTAGCCTGTAAATTTAGCCTCCCAAATCTGGTGTTATAGTCTCAGATTTTCCATGTGAAATGTGTAAGCACCACCTTTGTAGCCTTCTGAAGCCATTGTATTCATTTGCAAAGGTTATAATGAGTTTTCATGGATCTCTATCCTTTAGTAGTTTAAAATAGATTGCCTGCAACCTGAATTGAGATGGTCAGTGTTCATAAGGAATGGACACTTGTAAACAGAATGAGATTTTTAATATAATTTTGAACTCATATAATTGTCATTTTTCACTTAGACCAAGAAGAATAATTGTCAATATTAACAAAAAACTCTAACCTAATTTGTAAAGTGAGGCCATTTTGCACTCACTGCAGATTCAGCTGCATCTGTTCTGCAGCACGCTCATGTATTTAACTCCATTGCTTTGTGTCACAGCATTTGCAGTAGGCTTAGGGCTGTCCCTCAGCAATAAAGTCCTTTCCTATCACACCCAGACCTCTCACTTTTTAATTAGACTTTGCATTGTAAATGAAATGTCACTCTAACCTTGAAGAGCATAACTAACTGATTGCTCCATTACTGAGCATCTGAATCAACCCAACCTGTGAAACTTGTGTTCTCTAGCTTTCAATCTGTGTAACTTTTATTAGGTTTTATAAAACAGTTTTGAGGGAGAAAGGAATAGATCCCATGCTCTAACAGCAGTTTGTGGCTCTCTAGGTAAGTGCTCTTTGCTGCAGCATTAGGGATACCTAGCATTTTGAATGCAGCCTAATGTCTCCCCAGAGAACTGTACGTTGTGAAATTGGCAAAACTGATGGGTTGAAAAAAGGAAGGAGGTTTGGGAGTTTTGCTGGCCACACCTGAACATTTACTAGTAGCTGTGACACCTAATAGCACTGGAGAAAGTAACATGTAGTTTATTCTATTGTCAGTAATTGCTAATGATGGGAAGGAGGTGGAGGATTAAGAAATGACTGAGATGGTAGATAGCAAAGTAAAACCCATCCCTTCTCAGCCGTGTGGAAAGCAAAGAGGAGTGGGAGAGATCTTCACACTCTCATGCATCACTTAAAGTTTTAGAGGATGGTTTAGCAGCTAGCATGAATGCTTTTAAATAGTTAGATTGACTTCTTTAGACTTTGGTTCAAGTTCTTGCATAGTTGCTGATTTCTGTGGGTGTTGCACACTTCATTATTAGTGAGGAGGAGAGGGGCTGTTCTAGGAGAAAGTGTAGGAATGATCTCTACCACCCACCAGCTTTTATGTTAATAAGACATTATGCTCTAAAGTCTTGAGCCCATCCAACAAAACATGAGTACAAACTAGGAAGCATAATGTTGTTTAGTGTCTTTGGAATAAACTCACTGCAGACCATGGCAATATGTCAAAAATGTACTTCTAAATAAATAGAGAGGCTTTTGCATATTGCAGTATTGGTATCAGCACTTTGGATCTTCATGTGCACTAGCTTCCTGTGCTCTGGGTTGGGGAGGGATAAACTGTATATGCAGCATGGGAGTTTCTTTTCCCCATAAACAGCATTAACAATCCTTTTAACGTATGTATAATGTGAGGTTAAAGAAATGTGCTTCTTGCTGCCAGCAGTTAGTCTCGTCAGAGATGGTTTTGCTGTCCCAGACTTACTGGAAGGAAAGTGCTCCTGCACAGATGAAGTTTAGAAAGTTTTTAGGACATTCTGTTGTGGCATATGAAGCAGGTTTTACCTATCATGAGTAAGAATATTCCTGTAGAAAAGTAGGAGGCTATGCAGGTGTGTGATACTGAAGCCAAGTCGTCATCTGCAAAAGGCAGCCTAGTCTTCTGGCCAACCAGAGCTGTTAGAAAACACTTCTTGCAGATGTTGCTTTGTGAGTTCACTGTCAGTGAGCTATCTAGGAATACTCATAACTGACAGACTGAATTGACCAATTGTGGAACTGTAGTTTGAAATAAAAAGGACTGTACTGCACCTGTGACCTTTCTTCTCTCTCTACCACCCTGGTTTGCTTTCAAAGGATATGGGTTATATGCTATGGGACATACCTGGTAAGGCAGTGAACAACTTAAGCAACCACCACATAACCCCTCTTCTTCCAGTTTGCCTAGCAGCAACATTTTAAAAATGTTGTTAAATGACAGATATCCATTATCTTAATTGGCAAGGCACCATTCAAGAAAGCAGGGTAGAAACTCAACATTGGAAATGGGTGTACAGTTACCAGTAAGCAGCTGCTTAACTTCACATACATACTCCATAGTTGTCCTGGAAACAAATGCCTGAATGTGGATTTAGATGCCTAATGGTAAGTGCATATTTGAAAATGGTAGACTGTGTGTTTGTTTAAAATGTTTTACATTTGCATTTTTGTTAATTTTGCTTTTGCTTCTACCATAAAGAACTCTATCCACATACATGCACATATGCAACTGTGTGTGTGCGTGCGCACGCACATGCGCGCACACGCATGCACGCACACACACACACACACACACACACACACACACACACACACACACGTGCGCGCGCGTTTGTTTTTCCTTTGGCTTGTGCGGTGTCTAAGTCAAACCTTACTTAACCTCAGCAGATAAACTGAAGGCAACAGGCGCATTCTGTTTATGTCCTCTACAAGAGCAGAGGGCATATGGAATAAATCAAAATGAGACGCATAATAGGATCCCATGAGAGAGAGCCTTGTGATTGTGTGATGACATGCACTCTCCTTAGAGACAGCGTATGGGGGTCTAGCTTCATAGCTGAGTCATGCGACAGGAGGGGGCTCCTTCCATTTTCACATGCATCTCCTCTTCTGATGTCACAAATCCATTCTTCGCTGAGGGAATTGATTAACATTCATTGGGAGCCTTCGGAGAAAGGGAGAGAAAGGCAGAGAGAGTACAGAAGGGGAAAGGGTGGCTAGCTGATTCTTCCCATCCCAGCTACATAGAAAGTTGGGGCACAATTGGACACAAAATGGCTATTTTATAACTGGGGTCCTTGGTGACGTATGGCTGAGTGTTTCCTGGCACAAATCTTTATGGACCAGTAAGCAGAGCGAAATTGAAGCTGACAAGACTTTTTGCATTTTGGAAAGGACTGTAATCTGCTGTAGTGAAGAACAGAGCCACTCAATCACTGCAGCTGTAAATAAGACAGAAGGGAATAAGAGAGAAAGAAAAGAGAAAAAGTGTTTGCTGGGGGGAGGGGGGAGAAAGCATTTTTGGTGGATGGTATGAAGCCAGCCATGGAAACTGCAGCGGAGGAAAATACAGAACAAAGCCAAGAGAAAAAAGGTACCCAGAGGTCTAACAATAGCCTGTTTAAATCTTTTCACTGCGGGTGCTTAAAGAGGTTTAGACCGTTTTAGTCACTCTTTTTAGAACAGCTCTTAAACAATCATTATTGCATCTTTTAGCTTTCAGGGATCTTTTCCTGTAAGGCTTGACAGCAAATTAATAGAGCAGCAATCTTTTCCTCTATATATATTCTCTCTCTGAACCTTCTCTAACCCCACTAAAAATTTATTTTTGCAAAAGAAGCTTTTTTGTTGCTGTAGCTTTGATCAGTTTTGGTAAATTGGTTTATAGTGTGTGTGTGTGTGTGTGTGTGTGTGTGTGTGTGTGTGTGTGTGTGTGTGTTTATGTGTGTGTCTGATATTGTGACTGTGTGTGTGTGTGTGTGTGTGTGTGTGTGTGTGTGTAATTTACTGTTTCCA